TATAAAAATTGATTAATATTTAATTTTATAAAATTTAATCTTAAGAATTTAGTTTTATCTATAGTGGAAATTAAATTGTCCTAACCAAACTAAGAATTCAAAATTAAAAAAAAAAAGAATTATCTTGTCTAAACAAAATATTTAAAGAATGATAAAAATTAAAATTAAAATTAAAATAATTCAAATTCTAAAATTTTTAAAATTTTAAAATTCTTTGTCAAAAAACACTATAAGTGAACTATTAAAAGAAGTGTTTTAATATTTGATTTATCTACTGTGTTACAAGTTTTTCAATTTATAAATTTGGTAGAGACTATAAACATCTTCTACTTGAGATAATCTTGCTCAAGTTGAGCATGATCATCACTACATCACAACATTGTTTTATCAATGGATGAAAAAAAGATATGGGAACTGTATTACACAACAAACATCTAATAAACTGCATATGCATGTATAATAATTACACACAATTGAGCAACAAAACTCACCAAAGAAATGTAACAAACACGCGAAGTTAAATTAATCTCATGATTTTATGATTGTAATCCAAAAATAGCATACACTCCCTGATAAACCCACACTTTAATCAAGCCCAAAGAATCTTCTAATCTCAAGTCCAAGGCCCCAATGACAAAAGGCCCACATCACAATCCATTTTGGCAGTGTGTCAGGTGATTCACGACCAAAAAATAAAATAAGAATCAGTTAGTTTTCCCATGAAATCAGTGTAACCTTTTCATCAAAGATTTCGAATAGTATAAAACACTAGAGTTTGTAAAAAGAACAGTGGAAGCCTTCTCTTTTTATCAGAGCCTGGTTTCGATCCAGGGACCTGTGGGTTATGGGCCCACCACGCTTCCGCTGCGCCACTCTGATTGTTAATATATTGCTTTCAAAAGTAATACATGAAGAACCAAATTTCCCAAAAGAATTGGAATAGATGGGAACAGATATTTGGGAGAATCAGAATGGACTCACGGGAACACGATGAGAACTGAGAAGGAATTTAAGGGTAACATATAATTTTTTTTAAAAAATAATCTCTAGCACTAGAGTTTGGCCCTTTATTATTGGAAACTAAGAAAAGGTTGCAGCTTTGGAGAAGCTGGCTTTGGTTTTGGTTTTGAAATTAAAGGCAGAAGGTATGTGTACCTGTCTAAGGGCACACTCCTTTTCTTCTGGGTGCTTCCGTAATGCAACTCATGATTTTGAACTTGTTGATCTGGGATATGAGGGTAGTCTTTTCACATGGGGTAATGGCTAGTCTAGGGAAGACAGAATGATGGCTTCACAAGATTGGGTATCTTCCTTCCCAGAGGCAAAAGTGTATCACTTAAACAGGTACCACTCTGACCATAATCCCTTACTACTAGAGAAGAACCTTCTCCCAGCTATGAATCGCAGGAGACGAATTCCAAGATCGTTCGTTTTGAAGAAACATGGACGCAAGAGAAGAACCTTCCTGCTCGCGTCTCTCAGGCCTGGAATACTAACTATGGAGATCTCCCAACCAAAATCCAATTCTGCTTGTCATCTCTGGATAAATAGGGAGATGAGGTCTTCAGAGACATCCCCAAAATGATCAAGCAATGCCAAAAAGACTTGCAACGCCTTTACCAAAAAAAAAAATGAACCGGAGGCTTCTAAGCTTATTAGGAAAAATGAAGAGAAGTTAGACCAGCTTCTGATACCTGAAGAAATTTTTTGGCAGCAGCGCAGTAGAGTTTCGTGGCTTCATCATGTAGACCGTAACTCTAAGTTTTTCCACCAAAAAGCTAATCAAAGGAGAGACAGAAAGTGGATAGACTCTATTCATGATAATGATACGAAGCACGGATACTTCAATTTGTTTCACGTATTCGTATCCGATACGTATCCGACACGATACTCTTAGATACTTCACCGATACGGGTCAATGAAGTATCCTACTAGCCTTTAAAAATATTATAAAAAATTTATTCAATTTTGATACTTTCAGATACTTCACCGATACTTATTAGAGTAATACGTATCGATAAAGTGTTCAAATTTTTGAAAAAATTATGAAATATCCATTACAGCTAAATAAGATATATAAACATGTTTAATATAAAAACATAGAACTATTGGTCCTTGCTGAACTATAAATGAAAATTGTCTTCTATATAGATAATTTTAAGAAAGGAATGAAATTGGTAATATTAATTCTATTTGCAAATAATAAAAAGTAATTTATGATGAAATGATTTATAATTTATTTACTTTTAGTAATGTACAATAAGTATGTTTTTAATTTGGATTTGCAAAATAGCTATTATATATTAAATATTTATGAATTTTGATCAAAATTACAAGTACACATTTATTATATTGTATGAACATTGATATATATGATGACACGTATCTTACAAGTATCGTATCTTATATATTTTTAAA